AGTGTCAGCTGGACGTGGCCAGTGACATTCGAAAGGGCCACCCCACCCCACCCCCCACCTAAAGGTGTTTACACTTTACACTGTTTTTGTCTGTTCAGATTTATTTTGCGAAGATGGGTGTTTTCCGTGAAGTGATGTGTTAGTTACAGGGTTTGGTGCTGCTAAATAGTTATAAAATCAACCCTTTTTGCTTCTGGAGAAAGACTGTGTCGCTTGACTGGATCGTTAGTGTGCCAGTGTGGCCGTGGCTTTTGTTCCTCCCAGAATACACACTGATGCTCTTGGTGCGAGGTGGCGTTGAGCCTTAAAAGGATCCAGAGATTTATTTACATGCTACTGCTTAAAGACATTTTAATTCAGCTTTTTTGTGGAAATTTGCATGACTTCTTGCGTTATTAAAAATGCGTCAGCGGCTCAGGTGCCGGGGTATCCTGCGGGGGAGCCGGTCCCGGCCGGGTTCGGGCTGAGGGGCACAGCGCCGCCCTCGCAGGCCGGCCGCCCGCAGCCCAAACACGCTGCTGTTCGATTGCCGCCGCGCGCCTGCCCCCAAGTCCAGGAGGCGCCGTGCCGTGAAGCGGCCTGCACACCGCACAGGTCTGCACTGCACCGTCTTACCCGAGGAAAGAAAAGGGCAGCTTGTTCCCCCGTCCGCAGCGCGCACGTGTGTGTGTGTGTGTGTGTGTGTGTGTGCGTGTGCGTGCGTGTGTGTGTGTGTGTGTGTGTGTGTGTGTGTGTGCACGCACTGTGCACATGCATGCGGGCTTCAGGATAGTCCCAGACACGCCATTGGATTCTGTGGTTTCAGAGAAATGCAGTTAAAGCCGCAGTATTTTATGAGATGAAATTATGAAGAACATAATTATTTCAAACTTCCATTTTTAGGTTAAAAAAACAGACAAATGAAACTGAAGACTATGGCCTAGATAAATTTTGCTAACTCCTCTGATCAGAGAGGCCTGCTTGTCATCACCATAAAGTGAATAGATTAACTTTTAAATACAGTCCAATAATGTACTGTATTAAATATAAATATTGAACGTGCTCTTTTCTCAGGAGCCAAAGTCCTTCTGATTTTCTTTCTGAGCTCTTTTGTGAGCTGGGAAAGGCTGCCTGCAGCTGCCGGCCTTTTTGTTAAGAGGACGGCCGGATGCTTTGTTACGGCTGTTTGTCTTTGTGAATACAGAGTGCCTCTGCACTCCCTGTGCCGTGTGTGTTTGTGTGCGCGTGTGTGTGCGCGTGTGCGCGTGTGTTCAACCTCGCGCACACACACATACACACACAAATGCTCGGTCTGCTGGGTCTCCACTGTGAGGGGGTCATGCTTCACTGGACCAGGACTCTGTGCCTTTCGGCAAGATGAAGACACGTAGCGGCTGGCTGTCCTGAAGAGCAGGGCGCCGACACGGGTGCTAACACACCAAGACATGGGCGCTCACACACGAACACGGGCACTCACACATACCGATGCCGACACGGGCAATAACACACTCTGATGCCGACACGGGTGCTAACACACCAAGACATGGGCGCTAACACGCCAATGCCAAAATGGGCGCTAACAGACGTTCACATACCGACACAGGCACTCACAGACGCTGACACAAGC